TGCTGCCACAGTGAATATGAGCCTACTTCTACCTATCAATACTGGCTTAAAGGGTTTCTCTGTTTTTTTTTAAATTAAATATACTTTTGTATGAAGAACTGTAAGCAATACACCCAGCCTTTGCCACACCACTCATACTGATGCAGGTTCCTGCCCTGCATCTGCAAGGCATTAACTGGCTCTACTGTGGGGAGGAGAGAGGATGTATGAGCCTGAATCCAATTGCAGGATCAAGACGGATTATGCAAAAATCCAATAAAAGCATTTCCCCAGCAGGGAAACTTATGCCAAAGAGAATAATGCTATTTTCAAGATTGTTCAGCAAATATTCTAGTTTAGAAGAGTTCGTATCAGCTTGAGAATAATGGGCAGGTCATACTTGTCTCTGTAATTCTTAATTGCTCTCATGAAATGCTAGTGAAAACACCATCTGGGAGATAAAAAAAAAACCCAGATGTATTTTGGCTAAGAAAAGTTTCCTCTGAGCAAACACCCACACTGCCACCAGGGACTGTGGGAAGGTTACCTTGCCAGTCAGCATCTCAAACAGTTTGGCCGACGCTTCCCCCTTGCTCTATCTTCCCCAAGCACAGCCTGCCCTCAGAGCTGTAATTAAGCCTCCAGCCTCCTTTGCTTTAGTGAGCCAGCCTTGAAAGCTTTACTTTTTTGGGCCACCTCTTCAACTACAAAAGCAAGTGAAATTCAAATCCCGCGGTCAACCTCCTCTCCTCCTTTGATATCTTGCCAGAGGGCCTCAGCAGGCACAAGAGGTGATTACAAGTGTGCAAAACTCACACTCGTTCCTGACGCTGTATGGAGCGGAGGTGGCCCAGAACCCTGGCTTGCCTTGGATCTGGGCACCCTGAAGCCCTGGGCATGCACTACCCGGGCAACTACTCTCAAATACTGGCTGAGCATCACCTCTCTCTGTCTTTAGTCTGTGAGCCTCATGGCTACCACTGGAAAGGTGAAAGGGAGAAGTGTTAGTACAGGCGGTTGTGCGTCAGGTTTTCCGCTTCATACAGACATTTCTGTGGGAAATGACAGGCACCTCTGACTATGTCACACTGACCCTGAGACTGCTGAAAAACTAGAAATGAGTTTAAAAGTTCACAAGGAACCTGCTTGCTAAGCAGAGAGACAGACAGCTCAAGCAGGGGAGAGGAGGCTGTAGCACTGCAAGGCCAAGGGGCCAGAGAAGACCGTGACAAGGGGACAGTTGCACCGGGGAGGAGGCAGGAATTGCTGTCAGGCTGCTTCCTGAAGGCTTCTTGGGATGTCTGCCTTCCAGGACAGCGGCTGGCTTGTAAATGCCTTGCCATTTTTTACAATTCCCTCTTGTCTAGCTGCTTAGAGGAAAAGGCATCTTGCTGGTTATTCTTTCTAGTCTGGTGCCTTTGTAGGAGGGACAGAGACATATCTGTAAGCTAGATGATGGGGGCAGGGTCAAGGTGCCACAGGACTTTACACAGAGACCATCCCCAGGAAGCAGCTCCCATGGAGTATTGGACTTCTGCTTTCCTCACTTCATCATATCATCAGTTGTTGCACTAAGAACTGAGATATGCGAGTTTCTCAAGCTCTGGAAACAGATGTCATTTTCAAGAAAGAATAGGAGACACTTCTTAAAACTGTTCTTCCTATTTTAAAGAGTTGACACTATTTTTTTCAAAAGGATGTTGGAGCAGAACAGACACAGGCCTTAACTACACCCTTAGCTTTCATTCTTACTTTTGGAAAGACTAAATTTAATGTCCAACTAGAAATTACATCAGCCTTAAATTAGTATTGTGATGGCTAAGCTTCCATCTTGGTAGCAGCATCTTAAAATGTTCACCCTCTTTTACCACATCTCATCCATCTCCCCCAAAACAGGACTGCAAACCCTGTGCTGCCAATCCCACTGGCCTTCTGCTCCACATTGCTCCTCATTCCAAACCACATCCTTCCTTGCACGGCCATCAGCCTCCTGAGGCCTGCTCCACTCCCATGTGACAGCGTGAATGTCAAACATCCAGCGTTCGGCATCCAGACACGACCATCTCAGGAATCCTCTGTGCTTTTGGCAAGCCGCCTGCCCATCCCCAGGCACTTGCTGTATCCAAGCTGTGCAGGTTCCTCAACGAGCACAGCTGCCTCCCATATGCTCTGGATCTGAATGGGAAAGCCAGATCCCCTTCCATAGCTTGAGCTAATAGGCAGGATACTTGAGCTATTGCCAATAAAACAGCCTTACAAAAGAGAAAACAGCACACAAACCTTCCTGGAATGCAAAAGGCTTCGTCTCCAATCCCTGCTATAATGCCTGTTCGGGGACTTCCTGCTAACCAGTAACAGGGTAGTATAAATGCATAAACCTTGCAAAAGGCCTGGCAGAGATTGTGTGCCCTCAGCACAAACCGTAGTGGGAGATGCTGGTTTGATCTACACCCCCAGGTGCCAGAGCCGGACAGTGAGATCAGGTGCCTGCAGTATGAGCCCCCTGATGCAATATGAAAGCAGGAAGAGGGACCGGCATCCTGCAGTTTCAACATCCCTGCGTTTTCTGTGACCAGTGCAGGTAAGTATTTGCAGATACTGGATTTAGCATCTTAGCTGAGATAGGAAGGTAAACATATAGCTTTACAAAATGAGTTCAGATGTGAATCTATGCAAGTCTTTTGAGATACAAATGCTGCTCAACATCCTTAGCCATAGAACATAGCTGGAAAAATTTCATGTCTGAAGTCCAAGGTCTGTGAACATAAATCACAAGCACCTCTGGATTTTCAGTGCCATGAGGAATACACCCCAGCTACGCAGAAGTGGGGCAGCCTAAAGAAATCAGTTATGGGCCTAAGGTCCTTAACCTACTACTCTATGCCAAATTTTTTTGTGGACATTCATGGTGTTGCTTTTTGGGTTTTTTTTATACTTCAGTTACACCAGCAAGGCACATGACTTACTAATTTTTCATTCTGGCTCACTGAATACTGTTATCTACCTTGAATTTAATGGAGGGGTTTTTTTCTTCACAGTCTTCTGAAGTATGCATATTTTATAGAAACTTAAAACCAACTTGCAGTTTAATTCTGTAATTAGCTCCTCTAATTCACATCAAAAGCTGAACATCAGTAAACAACAAATGAATTGTCAGGAGCAAATCAAACTCTCTGAAGATGAAGCAACCATCAGAAAATAATTTACACTAAGCAAGCTGAAAAAAACACCACATACACACGTTAGAACAAAGTTGTAGTTGTATTTTATTTAATCAATGAAAATCTACCTTAAAAACACAAAATCAAATTTAGTAACCCAATACATTGGATTGGAGAAAGCTTCAAGCTTTTAAGCACAAGCCAGAAGTCACAGTCTCAAATGAGAGTTTCAGAGGCCAAAGCAATACGCCGGAACAAAGTAGTATCTTTATGTGGAGGCATGCTCCTTGCACCATTAGCGTGGTTTCAGGTGCAGTAATGTTTTAGCTGTCAGTTATAAGAAGAAGCTTTTGCATTTGTTTTATAGTTAAGTTTGTTGCATTGCTTACCTAGGCCCTGGATTAATGGAGAAAACAGGCAAGTTAAAGCACTTGCCTGTCCAATTACTACCAACAGACAATTTACATTGTGGTAAAGCTAGCTTTATTTAAATGAGGTTCAGACAAGAATTAACTTTACATATTATTAACAGCTTTGGAGCTACAAACATAAGAATCGGGATTACACAGGTCATGCTACTGTTATTTCATTTTACCTGCTGTAGTTATTGCAATATGGCTTAACGTACATAGGTATACAATTTGTACAAATTCAGCCAAGTTTGCACTTGTAAGGTGTTGTTAAGAGCATGATTAACTTGCAAGCCAACTTAAACCTGTGGAAACCAACCAAGGTTGTTGGAATTGCCCAAAGCTAAGGGGGAAAGCTGCCGCTAATGATGGACAGAGATAGACCGGATTGTTTGAAACCACATTGTTCGGCTTTAAATATTTATATAATTTGCTCTGAGGTAAGGAAAAATCTTTTGATGCTTCCACATAGGGCAGCACCAGATGGTGCAATCACACCAGTGCAATCAGTCACATTGCTTGCTGTACGTGCAGCCTCAAGGAGAGGCAAGCACTTGCCATAACAAGAGCATTTGTACACTAAAAGTTGATTTTAAAATAAATTACTATACAGGTAGGATAGTGAGCTATTGTTCAACTTGATGGGCATCAGTTTCACAAAGTGCGATCTGTAACCTTCACTTTAGAAATCAGAGCTGAAAGTACTGACTTGTACCCCATGTTTGATTTTAATGTAAACAACAAAAGAGAGGACCAACTCCTGTTGGGGACAGGCATCCCAGGACTCTAGGTCTTGGGGCTTCTTTCCATCTTTAAATCACTCTGCTCATTCTGGTCTACAGCTGTTGTCAGTCCAATCCACCTTACATGAAGGCTTTTAAGATCTCAGCACCCCAAAGGTCTCATCAGCTTTTTGCACTCCAAGGCAGAATTCATCACCAAGACCTTACCCTCCTTCCTACTCCCCCCCTCAGGGAAGACAGGGAATCAATAGGAGCGGGGAGGATATCAGGAAATGCTGTGGTGGGAAAGAGGTTCAGGCAGGGGTTGGGAAAGGAGGAAGCTTGTATGCAGGAAGGATGTTAGATGGTGTAGGTGTGGGGAAAGGCTTGGGGTTAGAGGGGCAGCGACCAGAAATGAGCAGACTCTGGAATGAGAAGGGTGTGATTTGAGGGTTGTGGTACCACTGGGGTTGCTACACGAGCAAGACGACAGTAAAATGGTAAGTCTGGAGGGTTCTCAGAAACCAGGGAGGACTGCAAGTAGAAGTGATTGGTGGATCTGACACAGGTCAGGGCTCTCCTTTTGTCTTTAGAAATACCATAGCTCTACATTAAAATCAGAACTGGGTTTAGGATACACATATAAATATTCAAAGCAAGACAGCCAAGTTTTTGAGAGATTTTACAAGGGGAAAAACCTGGAACAATAAATAGGAAACCACATGTTATCAATTTCCGCTCCAATGGTATCAATTTCCTCTCCAGGCTACTCTACAAAATTCATTTAAGGGTATGCCTAAATAGTACAGAAGTATTATAGCTCTACATTAAAATCAGAACTGGGTTTAAGACATACATATAAATATTCAACACATTACAGTCCGGTCCTGAGACCTGAAGTCTGGAACAACAGAAGAAGGGTATTCTCAATCTCCTTGCAAGCTACACTGTGGAAGTAATTTCTGACTAAATCAGGCCTGCACAAATACAACTGAAGGATGGATAGAGATACCTGAATGGGACCGAAAGGCAACAATCTTGAGCATCGTGTTCAAGAATTTGTGCGTGATCCAGTTCCTGCTGTTTGATAAAGACACATCTGCTACTCAGCCAGAAGTCTCATGTGTTCCCATCAGTTAGCCCTCCTCTTCCCCCTCACACACAATTCTAGCAGCATCTACAGCCACTCATAGGTCAAATGAAGGCAGCTACGGAAGATGTGGGGGGTAAGGGAGACTGCAAAAAGACAGGAGGGGCGTTCAGGGATCAGTGAAGGGATTCAAGGAGATGGGACAGACAGGACACACATTAAGTGAGGGGACAGCAATAACTGTGGCACAAATTTTAGTGGTCTGTCCATTCGCTCAGTTGTGCATCTCCAGTCTAAATGGTATATTTTGGGCAGAGGCAAATGACCTTCAAATGGAACACGTGTGGATATAGCCAATGTTAAAGGCATTGTTTTTTTAATAGAAATGACAAAAAAGGTGAGGTCTTCAAAAGAGCAGATGTTAACATCCGAGAATAAAGGGTAGTGAATAAAGCTCCTGGTTCTGTCACAGGATTGTCAGTTGTTCTCTAGGACTGGCATCTCTCCAAATGCCACATGGATGCTTAGCACATCTGAAAGAAAGACAACAGTAAAAAAGCTTTATTAACGACAACTTACTCTCTCAAGAATCTCTTATTTTCCCAAGCAGTTCTTGAAGATAAAGGTCTCATGACTTAGTGAAGCAAGTGCAGCAAACATCCTAGGGAGAGACTGTACCTATAATTTCTGATTCAGATTTCACTGAGGTGCAGAGAGCTTTGGTACATGAGGCACTTCAGGTTTACCAGGGAAGGCAACACTCACATCCTTTAGGATTCACTCACATCCTTTAAGATTTTAAAAAGAGCTTTGTTGGAGAAGAAGCATGTTTGTGGATTAAATCTTATACATTAACACACATGTCATATCACTGTGTATCTAGGAAAACTGGAAAGTACATTTTTTACCTCCCAGAAATATCACCCTGAACGACAGGCCAAGTCAAAGGCCATTAAAGTGAGGGTAGCTGTACAGAAAAGAAATAAGGTGTTGAGTAGCCAGAGAGAGAGGCAGTAAAATGACAAAGAAAAAAAAAAAAAAAATCTGTGGCCTGTTGGTTATACCAGGGAGTAGTTGCCTTTCACCAGAATAAAAAAAAATTAGAGGCACAACAGTTTTAGACACCCCCAAAACTATTTTGGAAAAAGAAAGAAATTGCTGGCTAAAAAAGCTACTTACATTCAAGGCCTCAGGAGCCACTGAGTTCTGACTTTGTGGACTATCACAAGATGTTCCTTCTTTGCAACTGTCATCCTCCCATGTCTGTGTTTTCCCATCTTCCACTGGCAGGTGATGTTGTTCTTCCTCACTTTCTCTGCATGTTTGCTGACCTGTATGCTGGTCTGGGATTTCCATAATCTGCCCAACCTCTTTTTCCCTTAATTTTGGTGGGTGTATGTCTAGGGGGTCTTTGGTTGAATCTTCTGAAGTACTTAGTTCTAGTGTTGATTTCTGAAGTCCCACACTTTCCCTTGAAACATCTTCAGGGCTAGTCACAATTGTTAAAGAATTCTGACTTTGTCCATCTTTCAGCATCTCAGAAGTTAACAGCCTATCTTTTGGTTTTTCTACACTTGCATGAATTTCTGCAGACTTTGTTAAGGTAGCAGTTTTCACTATTCCTGATTGCTGAAGCTCTTGTTCTTTACTCCCTATCTCTTCCTCTTTTACTGGAAGTTGATGATCCACCTGCATACTTTCCAGAAGTTCAGGTACATTTGTATCTGATGGGCTTTTCCCTATGGACTTAATGCGCTGCTCTGACTCAAAGACAGCTGACTCTTCTGTTTCTGCAAGTTTGTGAACAGCCGTCTGGATGGCATTCAATACAATTTTCGTACTCTGGGACTCTATAGTCACAGACTGAACAACATCCTCCTCAAATTCCGTGTGGGTGAGAGACAGACTGTCACTTAGAGGAATACCATTTTGTTCAGGTTGCCCTGCACTCTGGGGCCTCTCTTGCTCCTCTGATACTCCATTCATGGAAGCAGGAGGTACCTGAGACTCAGGTGCTTCTGCACTACCAAGCTCTGCAGTCCCACTGCCTGAAGGGTCAACAGTAGTAACTGGAACCTCTTGAGAAGCCATTTGCTCCGGTGTGGTTGCCAAGGGCTGTAAAGTTTTGGCTGTCGTGTCTGCAGGCGTTACGGTTTCTGCCATTACATGGTCTTCAACTGCTACAGCTGCTACAGGCACAGGCATTTTCAGAGCCTCCAAGCTTTCAGCTTGTAGGAGGGCTGAGTCAGAGCCTTCCTCTCGCACAGTTAAAACTTCTTGCTGGACAGCAGTTGAACATTCATCACCTCTCACAGCTTCCCATTTTCCAGATTCAACTACTTCTTTGGCCCTTGCCATCAATTGCTCATTTTTGTTATCTTCTTTCTGAAAGTCTTGACAGTTTGAGGTTTCTACAAGTTCTTGTTCTTTCTCCACAGTCTCTTCTTCAGCTAAGCTGCTTGGTGTTTCACATTTCTCAGGGCTTATGTCAGCGAGGACAGTGCTTCCATTTTCAGTGATATCTGGGCACGTTGATGCTAAATTAGATAAGCTGTCTGGTTCAATCTGCGTGGGAGCCTCAGTGACAGTGGTATCACTCTCTAAGTGTGTTTCGGTTTCAAGCATAGCATCTTCCATTTTGCCACCTTCAGTTTCATCACTCTGACAGGGGGGTTCAGTTGGTTTTTCTCTGCATGGTGGCTCTAGGATGGGCACAGAATCTTTTGCTGTAATGTGCTTGCCAGCCCCATCCCTCACACTCTGCTCAGCATCTGCTGCTCCTTCTGAGCCAATTTTTTCTGAAGGAAGGGCAGAGATTTTAACCTCATTCTGCAGTGGAACCTCAGTAACAGTGACTTCTGTGCTTTTTACTCCAAGGAGCACAGCATCATCTTCCTCTTCCTCTCTGTGGGCACGTGCCCCACTAGGAACTCCTTCAGTACAAGCTTGCTCTTCTAAGTCAGGAATTTCATGTTGTCTTTCAGGTTTAACAGGGACCACAGTGACAACTGCTTCTGTGCACTCTGGTCCCACAGTAAGAGTTTTGCCCTCTCCTTCAAGCTGCACAGGCTCTTCAGCTGTAAGCCCCAAGGACAAAGTTTCATCCTCTGTCTTGTCCTGCACCTGTGGAGAATTGCAACAGACCTGTGAAAAAGGGTATGAGCAGGGACTCATCAGGAATGTCCTGGGTAAAAAAGCACCAGAAGGAATGACCAAAAGGAGGAGGGTTATGGGAAGAGCGTGAGGTGATGACACTCAGACTAGTGGGTCACCAAGATCCCAGTTTGTGTTCAGCTTCTCAGGACACACAGCTCATTAAATAAAGGGCAGTCTAAAGCAAGGGACAGCGGACAGCACTTGAAACAAAGACTAAGCCAGGAAGATGGGGGGGGGTAGGGAATCCTGCATGTTTAAAGCTGGAGACAGTGGTGTCATTTCCTTTTTTTCCTTTGCAGAGGCACCTCAGCTACAATTGTATCTCTGCCTAAAACTGAAGATACCATCCACTATGTATGGTACCATATGGATCACATATGTATCTCAGGTGTTCATACAATATCTTCAGTCACATAGCACTGTGCTGGCGCCACAATGGCAATTGTTTCAGCGCCTTCGGATCCATGCACACCATCTCCCACTCCATTTCTGTAGGAATTGCATCCCCCTCACTCTGCACAGAAGCCTCAGTGGCTGCTGTGCCTGGACATCTGTGTCTGTGTCTCACTGGAAATGAACTTCAGTTGCCTTAGGCTGCACAAGAAAGCTTCTCAACAGTAACATTGCCACAACCTGGTTCTAAATTAGGTATAATATCTAAAACTTGCTGGTTTTTTTCTTTGACAAATCAACCTTTATGTTATATGTAATACTTACTGCAATCTGTACTTCTGGTTTGGGTTCATCTCTTGTCTCATCTACTGTCAACTCCGTTGCGGGCAATTTCTCTTGTTCTGAAGGCTCCTGCTTTGCAAACGGCTCTTCCTTGGGAGTCACTGCTTTGATGCTGTGAAACTCTCTGTCGTGTGATGAAGGTTCCTCTACTGTCTTCTGCACATCAGGTATTTCTTCATGGTCTTCTACAACTGCTTCTTCACATGTCTGCCCCTGGCTTTCATCTCTCAATACACCCACATTTTCACATCCTTCTGTGCTTTCTTTTATTGCAGCAGATATTTCACTTCTCTCTGAACCTTCATGTAGAACACTCTCTTCAACTCCATTTTGGCCTTGAACACTCCCTGCACTTCCCTGGGGCTGGAGACCATCCTCCGTGTGTTCTCCTTTTTCCAAGGACTGTTCAAGCAGAACAGTTTCCTGGCCTACGACGTTCCCATCTTTAGCATCATCTTTCACTTCTGACTCCATTCCTTGTACTGTTGTAATTATAGTTGCTGTCATGGTTCTTTCACTAACCAGCTGCGCTACATCTGCTGACTTTACTCTTTCAGCAACTTCATGAAGAACTTTTTGCGTCTGTTTGTCTAATTCTTTCAAATTTTGTTCAGTGGCCTCCACTTCTTGTACAGGTGTAACTTCCTCTGTAGTATCTGGGGTTTCTAACTGTGAAACAGCAGAAACCATCTCAGTTGTCTCCTCAGCAAGGGACACTGCCATTGTTTCTTCAGCGCAGGAAGCTTCTGCTGTCTCCTCCAGAGCTGTCACTGCTTCTGAGGTTAGCTCTAGCTCACTTGCTGTGGTGTCGTCACTTACATCCTTTCTTGTCTCTGGCACTGTCTTAGCAGCTACCACCGCTTCTTCCACAATAACATCCGATTCAAACGTTTTCTCAGTTTCTTTCTCTTCCTCTTCTCTCACCTGCTCAATGCACTCTGTCAGAGCAGCAGATATCCAAGATGGTGACCTTTCTTCAATACTAGTAACTGCCCTTTCCCCTTCCACAACAGTAACAGTAACTGCATGTACCAGCCCTTCATGTGCTTGTTCAATTCTTAGGGTCTCCTCTAATTTTTCTGCTCTCTCTTCCACTGAGGTCTGTTCTCTCATCGCTTCAGCATCTTTCACTTTTTGGGCTTCAATTTTCTCCTGCTCTGCTGCTTCGTATTCAGATAAAGGAACAACAGCTGGAATATCTGAATCTTCTTCAGTTGTTTCTGCCATGTCTTCTCTTGCTTGTTTAAGATGAGTTGGTTCTGGCTTTCCATCTGACTTCTTCTTCCTGCGCCCAGGCATCAGTTTTCTAAATGGAACCCACGATTCGTCTCTTCCAGGCTCACCATCCGATGTTGAATGCTCCAGGCTAGATCCCACAACAGAGTCTTCAGTTCTCTCTTCCATTCTAGTTTTGGATCTCCTTCTTGGAGTGACTAACCTTTTAAATGATTCCCATGTTGAAATACCTTCACCTTCGGATGGGCTTCCAGCTTGTTCTGGGGAAGAATTCCCTTGTCCTGGATCGCTCTCCTGAGAACTAGTAAGAACTGCATCTGTTGCCGTTTCTTTGCTCTGTCCAGACTCTTCTATTTTTTGGCTTTCTTGACCAAGCTTATGTTCAGTTTCTTCATCAGACGATGATGATTTCCTGGCTCTCTTCTTTGAGGAACCTACGCATATAAAAGCTTCCCAGGACACAGAGGTGTCAACCTTTCTTTTGGGCTCCTCCATGGTCTTCTCTGATTTCTGGTCCATCCCATTTTCTTTTAATTCTCCCTGATTTTCATCAACAGCGTTTTCAGTTGCAGATACTACAACACTCTTTGTCTTATCAGTTTCTTCTTCTTTATCACTTTCAGAAGGTCTTCTGACACGTTTCTTGGGAGTCACCATCTTTTTAAATGAAGCCCAGGGTGTCACACTTTCTCTTTTTCGCTCCACATCTGAAATTGCAGCATCTTCATTTTCAGTGACGTGCATTCCATCTACAGATTTTTCCAAAGAAGGAATTTCATTCATCTCCTCAGGAGAAGAAGCAGAACTCTCCCCCTTTTGTTCCTCTGGGCTATCTGCGGAATCTGATAAATGCTGAGTTGGTTCACCGTGTTCCCCTAACTTAGATTCGTCTCTTCTGCCTTTATGCTTCTTTCCAGACAGTTTTTTTAATCCAGTACCTGTAAAGAGTTTCTTTAAAGGGCTGCCTTGTAGTTTAGTTTTTTCTTGAGAAGACAGCAGTTCAGCTTCATTTGTGATACCTTCTGGAGGCCTCTTTCCAGCTGCCTCTTCAGGAGTTATTTCCATGGTTATTTCATCTGGTTTGATAGCATCAGTCGTAACTATGCCAGTTTTTCCCTGTAGTCCTTCATCAGTGGGTTTGATTGACTGTTGATCATCCTCTGTGTCAACCGAATGTTCAGAATTAGAAAAGGACTTCAATCCAGGAGCACCCAGAGTCAGTTTTGGCTCATGTTCTTCGCTTGCTTTCTTCTCTGTGGTTCTCTCCAGAGCTTCTCCTTGTGTGATGCCTTCTGCTGTGGGTGACATTTTCAATTCTGCTTCCTCCGTTTTTTCATCAAATGTTTCTTTCCCCAGTGGAGCAGGTTTATTTCCTTCTTCTCTTCCTTCAGATTTTTTAAGCTGTTCACTAGAAATTTCAATTGCCAAAGATCCTGCTTCAAGTTTCTCTTCAGAGGGTATTTCAGTTCTGTCATCTACTTCACACTTCTCCGTTGACCCCAGTTTTTCTCCCACAGGTAGGACTTCTGAGGATGTTTTCAATTCTCCATTCACACTATCAATGACAACAGATACCCCTGACCTTGGTTTTAGTGGTTTTTCTGTCACCTCACTTTCCTTCTCTCCTTCTTCATTTTTTTCTTCCTTTTCACCAAGATCTTCTGAGACTTCCATCAGTTTCCTTTCTTGATCATCTTGAGCTTTTTTCTCCTTCACACTTTCTGCTGCTGCTGCTACGTCTTCCTTTTGTCCCTGCTCATCATGCCTGATTAGCTCTTCCTTCTCACTTGCTTCAACTCCTGTGGCTGCCACAGTCTTTTCTGACTCCTGCTTTTCACCTTCAGTTTGCTCCTTCTCATGTGCTTCAATAGTTACTGCTGTCACATTCCTCTCTTCATCTTGCTTCTCAAACTCAGATTTCTCCTCCTTTTCACTGGTTTCAGTTGTTAATGTTGCCCCCTCTTTGTCTTGCTCCCCTTCTTTTGTAGGAGACTGTAGTTCATCTTCTTTAGGTTTCCTAAAACTCTTCTTTTTTCTAAATCCAGTCCATCCCTGAGTAAAAAATTTTCTTAATGGCGATGCAGTATCAGTGGCTAAGGCAGCTGACTCATTTGCTTCTGGTGTTTGAGGAGATTCGTCTTCTGTTTTTTCATTTTTCATTGTGTCTTTGGTGTTGTCTTCTGCAGAGAGTGCATCCTCAGGCATCACTATTTCTTCTGAGCTGACTTCTTTTTGATCATCAGCTCCTTCAGGGACTTGTGTTTCCTTTTTTACAGTAAGCAGTTGAACTGGTTCCGATTTTCCCGTCTTTTCCTTCTTCACTGTGAATCTGAACCCAACAAATTTAAAAACCTTTTTAAACCCCAGATCATAAGACTGTGGCTCAGATGCATGGTCTTCTGCGTCTTCTTCCAAAGACGGCAACTGTTGAACTGTATGAGCATCCTCTTTCTCAGCATCTCCACCATCCTTGGTGCTTGAGTCAGATGGACTTGTCTCCATAGTTTCGGTGTCTTCCTTCAAAGTTACACTGGAATGTTCTGTTTGTCCAACTGTTTAAAACAACAATAAAAAAAAAAACCAGTTAGTTTACTTCTCAATGTAATGTTACACTATAAGTCTTTTTTTTTTTTTCTTCATTTTTATCAACCTTACCTAAACATACTTGTTCTATTATGTGTGCCTCTTCTATGTGCTATTAACTCTTTTAAGGACCAGTTTTTGTTCTAAGATTACTATAATTCCTTTCCTTCCTCATATCAGCGTATGGGTCTTTCCAAAGTTTACTTGCAAATGTACCTTTCAAGCTTATATTGTCTCATTCTTTCCTTCTTTTGCAGGTGGGGGGTTGTGTTGTGGTTTTTTTGGGGGGGGGGGGGGGGAGGTGTTGGTGTTTGTTATTGGGTTTTTTTGTTGGTTTTGTTTTTGTTTTTACTTTAAGGCAAACTATGTGAGGGAAAAAAAAATATTTCTATCCTATCATTAATCAAAGAATATACAGCATACATGTAATTATTCCTGAAGCAAAGCTCAGTATCCTTTCCACGCAGAGAGAGACCTCTGAGGGAAAAGGAAAGGAAGAAAAAAAAAAAAAACCAAACCAAAAAACTGTGTGACCTAAAACGATGACAAGAAAAGAAAAGCTCATTTTATAGCTCTGTCCCAAAAGAATAGTAAGATGTGAAAATGCCCATGGGAAATTTCGTGTTTTTCTGAAAACTTGTAATCCCCAAAACAGTTACATTACAACATACTTGTTTTAAAGACCATGAATCTTGGAATTCTCCCATACATCACATCACCACTACAGCCAGACAGAAACCTCATCTACAGCAATTCCACATTGCTTAAAATGAATGAGGTCGTTACTATGCAAGCAGGTAAAATCCTACCCTCCACTGCTCACAAGTCTTTGTTTGCTTTATCTCTTTCTTGAGCACCATTTGAGTTATTCCATCAGGACGCTAGCAACCATCCTCTCAGTCTTGCTGGGACAATTTAAGTATTATCCGTGCTCTCTGGCCATGAGCTGCCTAAGTTCACAGGCTGGCATATAAATTAAACCCCCTGAAATGCAGCAGTTAAGAAGCCAGCACACATCCAGTTTAGAGCACAAAACTGCAAGCTCCCCGTGCCCCAAATAAGTAACTTTGGAGGGCAAAGGTGGAAAAGGAACAAGGACACCAAGCCTTTAAGTTCTGTCATTTAAACACAAAAATGAGCAGGTAAAACTGCTGTTGCCTATGATAAGAATTTTAATAATAGTAATAACTGTGCGATGAACATGCATGATGACAAACAGGACAACATGTGAAGACAAAATCTACAGCATGTTCAAGACACGAGAAGATTCTTGGGCTTGGATACTGACAGGGTTTCAGTTTAACATTGTTCTTTACCCTTGATTTTGTGCAACAGGTGAAAGTACAAGGCCATGAGGGAGTGTGCCCTTCTCTCTGACCAAACTTGTTGGAATGCTATGGTGACAAAATAAAATAAAAAAAAATATTAAAAAAATAATCAATGTTAAACAGCAACATCCTGGGAGAAGGCATGGCCCCTTTCTTTTAAGTTGTACATGTGCTACTTCAATGCTCACAGGCATGCAGGAGACAGCTTTCAAAAGTACATGCATCATTGAATTCCCCAAAGCGATTTAGTTTTTATTTGGTCCATCTTTAAATTGGATCTAACTCTGCAGTTGGCCCTGCTTTGTGCAGGGGCTGGACCACCTAATCTCTAGAGGTACCTTCCAGCCTAGATGCTCCCTCGATTCTGCTTGCCTAGGTCTCCTTTAGGAAGAACTGCATCTTTATAAGCACATAGACAATGCAATCTAGGCAAGGCTGAAACATAACTAAATAATAAGCAAAACTAATTCTACAAGTATACCGGCTTCTAATAGCTATGTAGAGGGCAAATTTTGTTTATATTCACTATCAGCAGCCTACTGGTTGTTGTTTCTCAGTTGACATAGGCAAAGCTTTTTGTTTTTCTCTAACGGTTTAAAATTATTTACTTCAATTGTTAAGTCCTAATTCACTTAAAAGTCTGATCTCTGATAACACCCTAGCTCCCTGAACATTTTAAAACACAGATGTTCAAACTGAGTAATTTGTGAGGGAGCAGGTTAAGAAGAAATGGACATTTTTCTGAAGAAGCCAGGATTATTACTGCATTGGTAATATACCTCTTGCAAACACCACAACACTCCATGAGCAAAAATAACTTGCTGTGAGAACACTTCAGGCTGTGGCAGCGTGGGGAAGGGAAATAAGATTGTTAGCACAACTAGAAGCAGCAATAACACATTTGAACTCACTTTTCATTTTAAAAAGGTTACTAAAGAAAAACTGATGTGCTTATTTTATTACTATTTTTGGAGTCTTATGAATCAAACATTATGTAGTTGTATGCTGAAACTATACAAGGATAAAGGCAAGGAACCGCTTTTGTATCTGTGTTCATTTATTCCTAGGTCCAGAAATAAATTCCTTGTCATTTCTTTCAAACTATGTAATTTAACAGAAAGCTTATCACGGCTTAATGGGAGCTCACTAAGTTAGAGGCATTTCTTCAAACTCTAGGGTACATATCATGTATTTTATAATTATTTAGTAACAGGTACTTCGATACATTCTTCAGTTTGTCTACGCTAAAAGTAATTTTTGTGGCTGAACCAGCTATGAATTTAAACACTGATCATTTAACATTTAATAACAACTTGTTCATGAGCAAGACCTTTTAACGCCTCTGGTGGAAAAAAGGTCTGTAGAGTCTCCCTTCTCTTCTTCCTCGGTCCTGCATTAATGCCAATGTGCTTACCCTTAGACATACAGAAATAGGCATCTCCATCTGACATGGCTTAGATAAAGGTAGAACAAAAAATGGGGCTGAGAGCCAGTGGGGAATGCTGGGTCTAAGTGGGAAAGATCAGGAACTGGAAGGCAGTAGGAGCGGAGGAGAAGCCAAAAGGCACTCGTGACTCGTGCAGGCAACTGTTGGGCAGCTAGAGACACAGCTTTCTAAGGGTTCCCCTTTCCTCTTGCAAACACTCCCTGGGAACGCAGGCCTACCACCATGTTGAAAATCTTGAGGTTTCAAAAAAATTGTAAAAAGTTTATAGTTGCAGTTGAGGCTGCATTGCTTTTTTAATTTATTCCTAGAACACAAATTTAGTGCTTAAGAGGAGTTTCAAGGTTTTATAGGTAAACAGGATTACTGTAAGAGTGGAATATATAGAATATGAATGCATGAGGTATTCTATTTTCACAGTCAGAGATAAGATGCAAGACTAATATATAAAGGCATCTCTTCATATTCATGATAAGCATTCAAAGGATTTTTGCTTATTCTATTTATAAAATGGTATGTTTATAACACCCTAAGATAAAGACTATGTCTCTGTAAAATGCTTTGCAGGTGAAAAGAGCTGAGTAACTATTACAAAATCTGCAGGTATGGGTATGTATTAAGACAGCAAATACAATCATAAAAATAGGTAAGAGAGTTTAGAGGCACAGTGATAAGCTTTCAAAACTGTTAAATCAGGCTGACAGTAATTAGGTCTTCCTCATGAGTCCAGCAAACATGCTACCTTGCAATACTTCATTGAATAAATTGCAAAAGGAAAAACTAACCAAAAAAACCAAGTTAACTGACTGAACATGTACTTTTAATATCAATCTGAAAAGCTGCAACTATGCTACACACGTCACACTTCCATCACTCCCTCATAGCACAGGGTGGGTATACTTGTAGACTTAGTCCAAGCACTACCCTTCAATTCCACACACAAAAAAAAAAAATAATATAGCATATAACCTGTCCAAAAGGTATTTCATCCCCAAGGTAACACAGAGCTTGGATGTCAGCTGTTAAGTGACCTGCTGCTGTTGCTCCCAGTCTCTACATTGTCCACGTCCTTCACATTTAAATCCCTGGAAGAGTCTTTTAAACAGCATTTCTGATGCCCTTCCTCAGCATTTTTGGAGAGAGATGCCATTCAGGACATCTGTCTGCATGCTGCCACTGTTGTGTGACAAGCCTGCAGTGCAATATATATGCAAGTCATTTTCAGAAGATATACCCCAAAGAGCATTTTTATATCCAGTGGGGCACAAAAGAAACAGAAGACCCAAGAAGTCAACTGTATACGCTGAACTTTATATTTAGCAGTTGGATTCTTTAATGACATTTTTATTAATGACATTCTTGGTGCCCAAACATTGTTAGCACTCTTCTGAATGCAAAGCAAACAGTGACTAATTCCACTTGGAGAGATTTGGAAGTTATTTACACAAGGTATTGTTGTTAAGAGTACTGTAGTATGTCACTACCACAGGTATTTTGGCAAGACAACTGGCACTTTCTGAATTAAGTCATTGAATTTGAAGGCATCTTTAAGAAACACAGGAGAGCCTCATCAGAATACCTACCGGGGAAGAAAAATAAATCTAGTAAAACACTGCTATGAATACAATTTCTTTAGGTCTGCCCTGAGCAGGGCTGCACTTCACCAGCTATGTGCTGGTCAAGAAAAACAATACAGTAAAAATATATCCAGAGGCGGTGATAAAAATCGAAGGCGATATCATAAAATTGATTCACTTTGCTACTTAAGTCCACTGTGGCTAAGAACTAACACTGAAATTCTATTTTAACTGCTTACGTACCAGTTAAGCTTTCAAACCTTTTTAATTGAATCAAGGTGCTGCTTGTGCTTTAATAACTGCAAGTCTTTTGTTTTATTATGAAAGAAACACATGAGATTGACAGTCTTAGGGAATCAGAAGTGCTTGATTTCACCATTTCATAGGTAGCTTAGTCCAAGGCAAGAATTCATTTCTGTTTTATCAGAAGTATACTGATCAGATGTTGGAAAATTAGTATTTTCAGAATGACTGAACTCCTGTCTCATCCCATGAAAAATGAAATGAAAAAATAACACTTCTCCTTTAGTAGGCTGACAGACACTGTTGGCAGTGCAACTCAGCTGCTCCCACCATCTCATCTGCCTCTAGAAGTGAAAATGTGTTTCTCCCCTGGTAGCTGCCAGAGAGTTAAAAAAAAAAAAAAAGGCACTCCGACTGCAAGAGTTAAATCCACAGCACTTCATGTGCTCGCAGTCAACCATGTCAACATCTGGAGCTGGTTGACTTTTCCCCCTAAGGATTTGCAGCACGGCGCTGGATTTTTTCCATGAATTCCCTACATTCTCAATCTCTCAGATGGATGTCACACACACCCAGCGCCCGCCTCGCAAACTCCACTGGCCATCCAAAGGCTCCAGAGTACTTTGTGCTGTTTTCATTTATTCTACGTTTAAGTATTTAGGGCCAAATCGTGCTTTTGGTCACATACACAATATTCTCAGTAGGTTTCCACGAGTGTAAATGAATGACAAAGCCGTAAGGCTGAAGGGGTATTTTACAATCGTTTGCTTCTGTTGTACCTAGGTTTGCTATGAATACGACTTGTAAAAAAACACCTACTGCTCTAAAACTCACATGACACAGAAACAGGACAAGGCAATTAAAAAAATAATTTGAACCGAGTGTCCATGATACAGCAAGCGTTTATTTGTTAAATGCAGTTTTTCCTTAACTACACAATTCTTCTAATTATTATTAGAAACATTTAAAGACAAAGTCAAGAAAGGATAAAAACTGATAAGGATGAAGAAGCAGTAATTAGAAAACAAAACACAGTTCAAAATTACAGTATCTACGAAAACTTGCCCTGAACAGATTTATTTAGAATAAAATAGCCATTTGGAATTATTAGTGAAATTGAATACTTTAGCAATTAAAAGAAAAAAAAAAAAGGCAAGCTGTGCTTTTAGGTTTTCATTGCACAGGGTGACAACTGGACATTATACCACAAATCCTGATTCATTTAACCACAAGTTTCAGGTGGTTGGGTTTAATAAATCAAACAAACACACCACCCACTTTGCAGTAACAAAATAACACAGAAATATGTCCAGGTGTTACCCTTCTAACAACTTTTTTTTTTTTTTAACTATAAGGTTTAAAGTCTGACACTGCTGCTTCTCGACAATATATTTCACAAATTCTTCCTTCCTTTCCCCACTATTCACGATATTTGTTTCCCTTCAATGTACAAATAGTTCTTTCACGGAAAGCACATACTACTTCCTTCCCCGTTCTATTCACTCAATTATTTCTAAGCACTGACTTGCCATGTTAATTGTGGGGAGGGAGTTCTTTCAGAATAATTAAATAACGAGGGAGGATTTACAGAGATTTTTGCATGCTAAATTTCACACTGCATACATGCAATTCATGAGCTTTCTAACCATGTTGTTCTTTCAAAGGTTTAGAAACAAATACCATTAAGTTCACTCTTCAGTTCTCTCATACTTGGGTGGCAACTGAAGAGTTATGTCTTAAAGTCTCACATACTTTTGTGTCCATTTTTAAAAATGGAAAAAAAGGAAGAAGTTGCAAAATAACTGTAATTTTCCATGACTTAGAACTCCTTCAGAAAGCAAAAGCAACATCCCCAGAAAAGGACACTGTACATAATCTCATATGAAATTAACTTAAAGGAAAGCACAATCATTTCCGCTGTGATGCCATAACATTCCTTGCAAACCTTTATTTTTAGAAGATTTTGCTTTAGCTGTGCATGTCTGCTCCAACCTAGAGACCAACTTCTCAAATTCCAGCGAGGGAAGTTATATATTTCATTCATTCAAGATTTTAAGATATTTCTTCTTTCATTTCAATGTTTCAAGAAATAGCACTAAAAATAAAAAAAACAGTGAAGTTCTTCTAAAATTGGTTGGTTGGTTTGTCTTTAAACCAGAAGGGTCATTACCCATGGCTTGGATATACAGTTACTGTAGTTAAAGATTCTTCATTAAATGAACTCACAATAGTAAATGGCTCTCAAACCAGTCCAGCTGTTCCGCTTGGGAACCAAACCGGCATGCTACAAATATTTATGAGATTTTATGGTTACCCATGCTGTCCCTGTCTCACATTCAGTGAATTGATTCCGCTTTTTAAAATAAAATGTATTCACCAAGCATAAGATAGATGCAACACTAGCACTTGGGTATTTGAGGGAGGGGAAAAAAACAAACAAAAAAAATCTGCTCCGCTAGGAACAAGGACAGGATAAGCAATGCAGGTCAGTAAACATCGGGATGTTTTTGAGAACCCCTAACGATTAATGAAGATGCACAATGAAAAACAGATTGAAAATGTTCTTTATCAGAACGACTGCATAAAGAGTAACACAAGCATCACAGACAAACTCACCACAAAGGAGATGTAGCTGCATCTTGCGCGAATTAGACACTACAGCTTAAGACTCTCCCGCATACCAATACGGAGAGGTACTCTGTCCCTTCAAAGAAACGGTGATTTGTACTACAAGCTAGATGCTGTTCTTGCAAAACGCACTATAGAAGCAGTTGTGCTGCAGTGAAAAACCAAGTTTCCACAAGAACTATTAAATAAGGAAAACCTCAAATGATCACACTGTGCAACCTTATAAAGAGATTGCTTTTGAAAAACAGTTTAACCTTTAATTACTAACAATAAAAGGAAATAAAAAACAAAAAATAGAGAACCCTTGAGGAAAAAGACTCAGCATGTGATAAGCTCATTAAACATCAAGTTTATTGAAAACCCTATTGTAAACAGGGGTAGGATATCTCCTCCCCTACTAACTGATTCAAATCACGTTCAGTCCTCCCCCAGGTCAGCTCCAAACGGAGCCGGACTTCTACAGGCTTTGTTGTCAATATGTATTGTAAAGCTAAAGCATTTTGCAAGAATAAACCCCACTATTTGTTGAATTCATTCACTAGCTCTAGTAAATAAAATATAAGCGAGTAAATAATTATTAATACAATGAAATAAAAAAGATTTCCTAGATTGCTAAAGACATACATCATCAATCTGAGAGAAATTCTGATGCAAACTAGGTATCTTTAGGGGGAAAAAAAAAAGTGGGTTTTGTTTATTTAAATTTCATAATGCCACTTTGTTTCCCAGAGAAAGACACAAGTTTGCACAAAACCAACTGCGCAAGATAATGTTTTTTCCATTTTAATTCTTTGAAAAGAGAATAGTATTTGGAGGAGCAGACAGCTCAATTAGTTTACAGTGTTAGCTCTCGCACTGCAGTAGCTCATGCACTACTTTCTTAAATAAGATGTACAGAATTCGGTGCACACAGCGTCGAGTTTTGGGTATCACAGGCTGGGACCCTGCTGCCACCCATGCATGTATACCCACCCCCCGCCGCGGTGTTAATCTCCTCTGGCTTTTGCTTCATTGAAATTAAAACAGCTATAGAGCAACAGCTTCATTTCTTTCATGCCAATATTTTTACAACATATAAACGATGCTAACTTCTGCATTTCCTTCCAGTTTAGCTCTTAAGATATTTTACTGCCTTATTGCTTGATTAGCATAAAATAGCATCAGCAACGCAGTCACCGCCTTTTCCTTCCGCTCCTCGATTTCAGATACCGTGTCATATTCTGGTAGTGCAGAAAACAACCTAGCGAGGCTCCTCAAATTTACGAAAGCCCGTCTAACGCAAGCACCGCGTCAAACGTCCACCTGAGGCGACGCGAAGTTTTGAAACTTCGGCAGCCTTCACTCGGCGACGGTTCTGGCCGCGACACGAGCCCGTTGGCCGGGCCATCTCCGGTGAAGTCAAACTCTGCTTCGCGGAGTCCGAGGCTCGGCCACGCGCGCCACGGCCAGCCACGCAGCGTGACGTCCCTCAGGCGTCACGCACCCAACCCCGGGCGCTCACCTTCGCCGCGCCGCGCCGCCTTACCCGTCATCGTTACGGTCCCCAGCATTTCCGACCTTACTGATCACGAGAAACGTCCTCCCCACGCTCTGAGACTCCTCCGACCTGCGTGGCCGGGGACGCCGGGGCGGGCGGCGCCTGGCCCCGCCC